TGTTTCGTCGGAGTTTCACCGACTCATCAGGAGGCTGAACCCTCAACAGTCTGCAGAATCCCCTCACTGATTACACTGTAAATGATAATCTACCTTAACCAAAATCAAAGTAGACAATCGCAGTTTCCCAGTGGGGCTGTCCACTACCGTCTTCCCCCGAACACAACGCACCCTCATCTTGGCTGTATCTGGCCGGAGATATAACTCGTATACATTCATTTTTTCCCCCGAACACAACGCACCCTCATTTTGGCTGTATCTGGCCGGAGATATAACTCGTATACATTCATTTTTAGGGTGCGTTATGTTCGGAGGAAGACGGTAGTAAGTGTTTGACTTGTAGTTTGTTTTCTTGTTTTGAACCCTGCGGGACTTGATCCCGTGACCTGTAACTCTTGTGTTTTGTTTGTGAGTGCTGTGCTCTATGGGACTTGATCCCTGAGTCTGTCACTAGTAGTCTCTGTTTGGTAGCCGTAGGCCATTCGACCTTTTCCTTTTGCCTTGTCAAGGTTTAGGTCCCCTTTTCCCTCTATTTCCATCTAGATGCAGATGAGTACTGGGTTGTTGCCTTCCGAGTTTGGAGAACCAGGGGAAACCGGTTGGGTCGATCGCCGGTGCGGAGGTTATGCTTCCGCCGTAGCTGTTTCTTCTCGTTGTTTTTTAACGGCAAGTCGCGTTCGGTTTTTTAAATGCTTTGTCTTGGCTCGGGTACCTTTTCCATGTCTGTTTTCTACCTCTCTTCCGTGACTGTCTTGATTTCTTCTTCTTCTTGAATTCCTCCTCCGTGTGCCCGGTTATGTCTATGAGTCGTCTCGTTTACCAATTGAATATTATTGCTATTCACAACAAATCGAAGGACAGCGGTCCCTGGGCAAGGATGTGGGGCTCAAGGGCCTCGCTCCACTACTTTCCACATGCACAAAAGGCAAAAAATATGGTGGTGTATAGTTTCATGTTCCAGCAGAATATTCATTCTCATTTTGCACATTTGGAGAGTAGTAGAGCGAGGCACACACACAGTCCCATACTTTTTGTGTTGTGACGAGTCGGGTGAGGGCCCCTTTTTTTTTTTTTTTTTTTTTTGGCCCCTTGTACTCTCCAAATGTGCAAAATGAGAATGAATCGTCTCCTGGAACATGGAACTCTACACCACCATATTTTTTGTCTTTTTTGAATGTGGATTGTAGTGGAGCCAGGCCCTGAATCTACACATGATGTTCCTGAAGAAGAGTCGTTTTCATTTTCCACATATGGTGAGTATTGGAGCCATGCCCTCAATCAAGGTACACGATCCAGAACCAAAAAAACTGAACTCAGGAACGTCTGGCAAACAGCGCATGGAGTCAAAGAAGAAAAAAAAGAAAGGGGAGCAAGGCACAAAACCCTCCCGTCACTATGTACTTGTATTTGAACATGCAGCGCCAGCAAGTAGATGTGCCAGCCAATGCGGTCTGCTCTGCGCACCGGGCCCAAGAGGGAAACAACGTTTTCCCAAGGGAGCCAGGCCTCGCGGGAGCGTACACCCGCTGCAGTCTTTAAGAGTGGGAGACAGGCCTCGCGGGGGCGTACACCCGCTGCAGTCTTTAAGGCTCTCGCCGCACGGCCCACGAAACGAAAACGAAACGAGTGCATCTGCCCAGGAAAGGTGGCAAAATACACTCGTTACTATTTATAGCAAACCCATGAACCTGGCCATTTTCTGCAGGAAGATGCAATCGTTTCGTTTTTCTTGTCGTGTCCCGTGCGGCGACGCCCCAAGAGTGGGAGCCAGGCCTCGGGGGAGCGTACACCCGCTGCAGTCTTTAAGAGTGGGAGCCAGGCCTCGCGGGAGCGTAGACCCGCTGCAGTCTTCACTACGAGTGTAGAAGAAAGTATTGGAGTATCTGGCGGCTTCAGTCGTACACAACAGCAACACTCAGATCCGGGTATGTACTCTCAGCTTCCCTCTCTCTTTCTTTCTCTCTCTCTCTCTCTCTCTCTCTCTCTCTCTCTCTCTCTCTCTCTCTCTCTCTCTCTTCCTTCTAGCTTGTATCGCTCAACCTCGCTCACTCTTTGCACTTTGATCATTCGCCCCTCCACTCTCTCTCATCCTACTCCACTTGGATAATAGCCTGAATAAAGCCATGTCGTTCCACCCTTGACCTCTGTGGCTGCGGCCGCCTTCGTCCACAACCTCCTAGAGCTATGGTAACCAGACGTCTTCTTCCCCGTGGGCACTCGCTCTTCCAGCACCCACCTTCCATCCATGTCGCATTATGGCACAAGCAACCCGCAGCGCTTCCGCAACTTGCACATAAACAGTTGATCCTTCTTGCTGATGCTGTTGGGATTTTATACCTGCTGATCAGCCTTCCAGATATCTTCTACCAGCTATGGGCTGGTCCCCTTTTGCCTTTATTCCCTGCTTCTGGAAACTTACGTACTCTTCTTGGGTTTGGCTGCTTGCATGGATCAACTGACACCTGGCCTCTTGACTCTGGTGATCCTGGCTGAAGTTTGTGGTGCCTTCTAAAGACAGACCCTTCAACCCATAACTGTTATCTACCAGGGACTTCGTACCATGATCTACTTAACTAGCCTGGATAAGCCTCTGTAATCATGGTATAAGCGAAACTACTTTTCTGAAG